TGATTTTGACTCATAGCGACCCTGTAGGACAGAGGAGAACTGCCCCATAGGGTGTCCAAGGCTGTAAATCTTTATGGAAGTGGACTGCCACATCTTTCTCCCTGGAACAGCTGGTGGGTTTGAACAGCCGACATTTTGGTTAGCAGCTGAGCATGTAACCACTGCACCACCAGGGCTCATAGTTGTTGCTATAGCCACCCCTAAATGGAAGGAAGTTGTCTGTGTATCCTAATGGTTTGAAACTGCAAAATTGCTACCTAGAACCTGCATTTAAAATTGGTGTGTGAAATGGGCTCTTTTATATATAGCATTGCAGTACTTTAGCATAGGGATTAACTTTTAGAATATTAATTTATTTCAGCCTTCTGCTACTAGATATTTTGTCATGTTATTTTTACATGAAGTGAAGCTTGATCACTGATTTCATTTTAAAAAAAGATTTTGATTCTCTTAATATTACTTAAAGACTTTTATATAAATTAGTCCTCTTTTTTTAATTTACTAAGACATTTTTATAATCCAGAGTAGTGATTATTTCTTCTATTTAGCTATTTGGTCAGTTTGATGATATATTAATAATTGTTAAAGTGTACCAGAAACTATTATATGATTAGATTCCTGTCAGAGCTCCTGAAAATATTTGAAATCAAAGCTTCTTTCAAAGTATTATTTATAGTTTATGATTTATGCAAAATATTGCTGTAGATCTGAGAGGTCATCATAGAATTTGTGCAGCTTCCTCCAAAACTTGACTAATCCTACTGTGTTTTAATTTTAATGTTTCAGAGAAATAGCATGTATGCCATGATGACAAGGCAACTTTAAAACCTATACTGATAATTACTTTTCTGTGGCCCCTTTTGAGGCAAACAGCTTACTAGACATTGATTTGTTTAGTCTTAAGAAATAGAACTTCAGATAGGAGACAGAGCAAACTGTGTAATAATGTATGAACTGAGAGCCACTTGTATTGGAAAAACAAATATAATAGGCCTGAATTTTGTATTTAAACAAATGAGTCTCAAGCCTCAGTGAAAATCATTTCTCTTACACAAATATGCACGTAGAGCCCTGTGCTAGCATTGAAGATGGAGTTCTGCAAAGACTCCAAGCACCTCAGTAACACTGCTTCTCTGAATTGCATTAGACCAGTTGGGACATGATGAAAGAACACAGCGTATAACCCCCTTGAGGGCCTGTGAGTCACCATCTAGAAAGGTTCTTGAAAGGGTAAGAACATTTTATAGTTTGATTGATAGGAGCCTGAGAAGTAGGCTACAGGGTAAGGACAAGTTGAGGATTAAAATCTTTCAGAAACTTAAAGAATTGAATTACTATCCTAAGAAAATTCTCAGGAGAAAAAGAGAGAGAGACTGAGAAAGAGGCAGACTTTTTCATCAGATCTCAACCAGCAACATTTCTTCTTGGTCAGAATTCAGCCCTAGTAGAGTTGATGAAAATCAGTCCTCCTTATCCCAACCCTGATGCAGAACTGTGAGACACAAAGAAATTTCTAGAGATCCATGTGCCCACCCTTGTAGTTTAGGGCACATACGAAGATGGGATTGTAAATGGGGATGTAAAGGATGGGGTTTCAGACTTCAAAATTAGAGCAGCTTTTTAATAGAATATTTCATTGGAATGAGGTTCTTATTCTGCTTTTCCAGACAGAACGAACCTTTTTTTCATACATTTGCTTTGAAAATGTATGAAACGGTGTTGCAGCTGGGTTTTCCTCTCATTACTGCTACTATAGTATAAGTTAACAAGCCGTTCTGATAATATGGTTATGAGAATTTAGATTATGTCTGGAAAGGAGTTACCAGTTTAATAGTATGGCCACTGTAGCAAGTACAAAAGCATAAGTAAAGGAGCCTGGCTAAGAATTTCTGAACTCAGAGCAGATTCTGTTATCGTTACTCCTTCGGCTTTTTCCCTATTCTCAGAAAATTTATAAAACCCAACTATGAGGTATGAATAAATAAAACATACTCAGGCTTCCAAGGAGCCACTATTAATGTGGTATACCAGCATGAGCAGATCAGAGTGCTGATTGCTCTATGAGAAGTCCAAGGAAGTGATGGGCCTCTGTCCTGGGGTGGGGGGTTGGAAGGAGAAGGTTTGGGTTGATGTAGTGTGTGGAGTCCCTGAGAACAGGGAGTGATGGTAGGGGGAGTGTTGACCCCACTTAAGGACTTACGACCTTGAAGTTGCATCCAGCACCAATCCCTTTTTCCATTTTTCCTATCTGGATTACACAGAGGAGACTTTGTGTAGAGTAGCTCTTAGGGTATCCAATTGGAATTATGAGAAAAAGCTGATTATTTTGATGAGCCACCAACGAAAGAAAGCAGGAGACAATGAGAAGGGAAAGAAATGTGGAGAGAGAGTTGGATACGGTTGTCAGCCAATTCTAGTTTGTTCTTCATTTCGTACCTGTCTCATCCATGCCTTTTCTTGGCTTCACACCCTCTTGAGTTCTGTGATGGATCCTCTCATTCTGGGAGCTGGCCAACTTGCAGCCAAGCCCTATGCAACCATATCTGAAGGGTGTGGAAGTCAGAGTCCTTGGTCTTCTGTTCCAGGGTCTGTTTCCTGGATAAGAAGTTGCAAGTGACTACATTTCGAGATGACTTCCTTAGATACCGTCATCTTCTCTTCCTGAGGAGTACCCAGAGGATGCTCCTGGGGCATGGTGTGACAGTTACTACCACATGGGGTTATATGGGTTTTATGAAAAAAAAATTATACGCTTAAAGCATGTTGTAAAAGACCTACTTCACAAGGACGCAAAAACACTTCTATGCAAAGAATAGAGGAAAAAATCCAGAGAAAAAAATGAAACTCTTAAGTTGAAATTAAAGTGCACACTTATTGTATGAACACTGAACCTAAATGGAGGAACACTGAGGTTTCCTCATTTTAGAGGTTATGTAGAAATATCAAACCTTCCCTCAGTGTCCTGGGATTGAAAAGTTAAAATTTTCTCCTACTTGGTCCTTCTTGTAGTTCATGATTCCCAATTCAGGTTCTTTCTCTAACTCACTAGTAGGAGAAGAAAGTAGTTTAGAGCTATGCTGGGCAAATGCAGGTCTTTCTGGGCAAACCAGTGAAACAGGAATCACAGCTGCCCTCTTCAGAACCCAAGTTAACCTAAGCCTAGGCATGGTATCCAGACAAATGGTACTAAATGGGGGGGAGCCCTGCTGGGGCAGTAGTTAAAAGCGCTTGGCTGCTAACCAAAAGGTCAGCAGTTCAAACCCACCAGTTGCTCCACAAGAGAAAGATGTCGCAGTTTGCTTCTGTAAATATTTACAGCCTTGGAAACCCTATGGGCAGTTCTACTCTGTCCTACAGGGTTGCTATGAGTCAGAATCGACTCGAAGGCAGTGGGTTTTGTTTTTACCAAACCAACCCTCGTAGGCCGTCTTTATTCTGAAACATTTCATGTTTCTGGTGGAGAGGAAAGGAAGTGAAACAGCTTTCTGTCCTGAAACACTCCTCTATAAAGGCAAACCCAAGCCTGGCAGAGGTGCCTTCATAGAAGGCAGTCATCCCTGAAAGCCAGGATGACAGGGTTTGAAACTAATGGGGATACAGACTTAGATTTTCTCCAGAAAGGTGACATTCTGCCTATTGGATTTTCCATTTCCATTAACCAGGAGTAGTCCCTTTAAAAAAAAAAAAGAAAAACTGGAGGAAAAATAAAACAGCCTCGTGTTCATGCCCCAGGCAGTCTTCCTGTGTAAAGCAGTCTGTGGCAGCTGGTCAGATGTCCTGGTAGGAGTTTTCCCCTTGAACTGTGGCTGTGGGGTTCTTAGAACCTTTTAAAGAACACCCCACAGAACTCTCACGTAGGGCTGCCCTCTCTCTCCTGTTTTCTCTCTCAGTTTCTTCTTCTGTTCTCAGAACCTTGTTTAGAAGATCATTTTGGATGGAAAAAGTATGAACGTAGGCTCAAAGTGATGAGCTATTTTTCCTCATAGTCTGGAGGCATTTTAACACAAGTAAGCTCTCCTGGATTTGAGGAATGGAAGTAAGAACACTGCCCACCAGTTTTCCTTGTGCTGTGTGTGCTCTTACTTTAAGCAATACTTTCCTCTTCTTCCACGTTACTCATCTGTAGACCTCGGGGCCCTTTATAACTGTTTGTCATTTTTAGCAACTGAAATGAAATGAAGGGATTTTTTCTTCTATTTATAGATAGGTAAACTGGGGAGCCCTGGTAGCACAGTGGTTAAAGCACTTGGCTGCTAACCAAAAGGTTGATGGTTCGAACCCACCAGCAACCCTGTGGGAGAAAGATGAGACAGTCTGCTTCCATAAAGATTACAGCCTTGGAAACCTAATGGGGCAGTTATACTCTGTCGTATAGGGTCTCTATGAGTCGGAATCGACTCGATGGCAAGGGTTTGGTTTGGATTTTGGTTTAAACTAAGGTTGAAAGGAAAATTAGCATCAGGATCAAATCCTGATGCAGTTTTTTATTTCTATCTTTAAATCAAGTTGTATTTCCCCCAAAATTAAAAATCAGAGTTATAGTCACTAAATAAAACATTATTCATATGCAAAATTGTACTGTGTTAAATTTGCAGTTGTCATAGTCAGTGCAAGACCTTTGTAGCCTCGTGAGTTTAGATTTGTAAAACCAAGCGTGTTGAAAGAATGGTTTGCACCTAGCTTTCTCTCATGCATATAAATTTAGTGCAAGCCTCTGTTTATGTGGTTGAATTGACATTGCTTAGTAAGCAATTGAAAAAGTTAAGCATAACCTAGAAGTAAGTCATTTACAACTATGAGTCACTTCCTGACAAGCCAATAAGGTAAGAGAACCTGCGTTGCAAAACAGTAACTAACCCTGCCTGAGGGACCCTGGGAATATATTACAGGTATCAGTTAGGAAAACAAAGCAGTAGTGTTTTACCACGCTGCAGAGAACAAGCTAAGGTTGCTACAAAATTACTTTACACTGACAATGCCAATTTTTACATTTGTTTCAGAACAAGGGACGCTCAAACCACCTGAGGTAAGATTAACATTTAAAAATTATTTTATATTTAAAGCATAAACTTTTTGCATTTCAAAGTTGTTTGCTAACTTAAGCAGGCTTTAGCTTTTAGAATGTTACATGTACCTTTTTAAATGAGAAGAATGAGCAAGCAAGTGCTTTGGAATGAAATGCACAAGTTAAATCACAGGAATTTTCATAGTCACTGTCTGAAAATCTTACGTAGAGGAAAAAATGTGAACATGTTATCTACGACTGTGAAATGGGGACACTTCAAAATCTGTGCATTCAGGTAAACTTCAAGCAGATACTGTAGCAATGCTATGGCACTAAGATGGAGACACATTTTCCTGGTACCCTGCTATGGAATTCCACAAAACTCTGAGGTTTACACAGTTTAATGCACGTGAACTCTTGACGTGAATAGCATTCATCCTATTAGTACAGTGTTAACTCACCCCAGGGAGTCGGTAGATGTGTCCTTGTCATGAAATGTCGTGTTGCTGTCCAACCTTTGCCAATACTGAAAAGTTCTAACATTGTTCATGGATGTGGGTTTGTATTTCTAGTAGTTTCCCATTTGAGCACAAATATGATTATCGCTTTTTCTTGATCAAATCAACATCTGATAACATTTCCCTTTGATTTAACATAGACTGTAACTACTAATGCCTAACCCATTTCCACTGAGTCAATTCCGACTCATAGTGACCCTATAGGACACAGTAGAACTGCCCACAGGATTTTCAAGGAGCGGCTGGTGGATTCGAACTGCCGACCTTTTGGTTAGCAGCCAATCTCTTAACCAATGTGCCACCAAGGCTCCCCTAATGCCTTAGAAGTATGCAGGTCCTGTCAGATCTCAGAATAAAGTCGATTGAAAAAAGAGCACAAAAGAATGAAAAATATGGCAGATTCCAGATAATCATTTCCTTGGCCTTCAATCAAAAGTAAAACATTTTTCACCTGGTCCCCAAAGCAGTGTATGTTGACAAAAACAAAACCAACAACAATAAAAAACCACCATAGCAGGGAAAATTAGAATGTAAAATATGTGTGATTAGTTATGTGAACCAAAACTATAGTAATCTGAGAACTTCTGAATAAAAGAATGGCAAAAAAAAATTCTATACCAAAATTATTTTAACATGTAACAATTGTGTCTCTTTATAAGTAGCATAATATTAGTATGTTTTAAATAGGATAGCATTTATATAATCGGTAAAAAAAAAATGCAGCAATGTACAGCAAGATGTCATATAAGAGACGTTTGTTTCTACTTTTTTGCATACATACTTACAGAGATATCATAAGTACAATACAAGGAACCTCATATTATAGACACCCATGCGGCATATCACTTGAACTTTTAGAATCTAGATTAAGGAATGTGTAACAGGATACTATAATAATATTCAAAAATAGGCCACACAGTTTCTTTTTTGGGCTAGAATAAATTAAAATAAATTTTTATTTTAGTGTTGAGTCAACAAGATTTTTCGTAAGAGCTATACAGATTCTTCCAGCATTGCCAATGATGATCTTGGAAAGCAGCTTTCGTTCCCTTACTCTCTCATGCTATTATTAGATTATTGAGACAGATTTCCTTGTAGAGCTCTGAACTTTAACTCAGTGTTACTTTATCCTATTAGATATATAAGGCAAATGGTTTTACTTTAATTAAGTAATGTGAAGTGGGTGTATTTACAGAAGGAAAGTGTGCTAATAAGGGGTTAATAATTTTCACATGATATTAAATAATTCTCTCAGGTACTTTAATACTCTGCTTCTAAAAATTACAGATAAGCCTATTGTGAAAGGAATTAACTTTCACATTGATTTTTTTCAGTGTAGCATCATTTTTTAGTGACTTGCTTAATTTTTAAATACAGTAAGTGTAATTTTTAATTAATAATCTCTACTCTGTCCAGATGGGTAATCACGGTAAGCTTTATACTGGCCTTGCCATTTAGAAACGTTGGCCTTCTTTAAGGGAGATACGTAGTAAAAGAACATTAAGAAGCATCTTTCACATCGTAACTCACCACCAAGGCAGTGTGTAGACGATGCCACCCTCCGAGGCTGATGCTTGTATGATGCTCAGGAAGTAAATGGTGAAACCCTTTTCAAGTTCTGTGATTTCTATTTTTTCCACTCCTTTGAGAACCTTCATTCTCTCCATGTACCAGTTGGTGGAGTCTCTGCGTGGTACAAACAGTTAAGTGCTCTGCTACTAACTGAAAGGCTGGTGGTTTGAGTCTACCCAGAGGTGCCTTGGGAGATAGGCCCTGTGATCTGCTTTCAAAATATCAGAGCTATGAAAACCCATGGAGCACAGTTCTACTCTGAAGCACATGGGGTCCCCATGAGTTGGAATTGGAATTGACTTGCCAGCAACTGTTTTTTATTTTTTAATTTTTAATTTTTTAGTCCTACCTTGCCTTCCATTCAATAACCATGATTGCGAATTTTTTATTTTTAATTTTATACTATATTCTCAGAGTAGGTCAGTTTTCAGTTTTCATTAGTCACAGGATCCATGGGTGTCCATAAACTTACCTGGAATGTTTATCTCACATCTCATTCTGGAGTGGTCCTTCAGAATCCCCCTCTGGCTCCAGGAAGCAAGTTCATTATTATGTATCTGTTTAGCTACTTTATTTCCTATTGCAGGCTTTTCTACCTTTACAACAGCTACAGGAACCAAAGCCCATTTCATGTAACAGTGAAACTTTGCTTGTTTTGTTGGTAAAATCAACAGAGACAATTAGCTTTTTACCAAAAGAGAAGAGAGATTCTTGGATGATAAAGGTGGTTTGTTTTTTCTTTGTTTTTTTTTTTTTTTTTTTAAGAGAAAGTGAAGGTAATAGGTAATGAAATAACAAGAAATAACTAGCAAGTGCTTATAAAATTAGGCCTTTTTTTCCCCCCTTCTAGGTAGATCGAAGGAGATTAAGAGGGGTCTGAAGACTGGTTCTCATGACCTTGTGGGGCTGTAACTGAGTGAGAGCTCTGGTAGAGGAGGGGGAACTACTAGATATGCCCCTTAGGCTGTAGGCTTTCCCTCCTCTTCCTGTTGGAGACAAAAGTCTGTCCAGCTCTGTCCCAGACTTTTGAGAATATGGGGATGGGGGAGAGGTATGTTGGACAGGCTATCACAGATTGACAATTGAAATTTGCATTTTAAAATTATTCTAAATATGTTCTGCTGGACATTTCCAAGTTTTTTACAATAATATAAAATAATTTTTAGGTGCTTTTAAAGTATAATAAATCTCAACTCTCAAAATGCCCTTGGTCTATGTAGCTGAGGTTCCCTCCTTTTTTTTGGCCTTAACTGTTCCTGATCATAGTTTACTCAAACTGCCCAACCTTCCTGTAGAAAACTTTGTTTTCACAGCCATTCATTTTCAGTGACTTTCCAGAAGGAAAAACCTGGAACATAGGCAGTAGGGCAAAAACTTACAGAAAATTTTATATTTTATGTGAATTGAGACACTGAAAATACCAGTGAAATACTTGATACTGTAATGATGTACATCCACGGCATACGTGTCCTTAAAATGATTGCTTGAACACAGTCTGTGAAGTTAATAAAAATGAGAATAGTAATAAGCTATCGCTTAGTAATCCTTACCGTGCGGCAGGAATTGTTCTAAACATATAACGTAAAATTGACCTAATGACTTCTCACTGCAAACCCTATGAGGCAGGTACTATTATTATCCTCATTTTATAAACGAGAAAACGGAGGCACAGAAACATCACCCAACTTGCTTGCTCAAACGGGGGCTTAGTGGCAGAGTCTGAATTTGAACTTGGTCAGTCTTGACTCTAGAATCCATACTCTTAATAATGTACCATGCTGCCTAACTTCAAGGTCAGGCATCTTTTTTACATTTTAAGTTTATTGTCTTTAAATAGTACTAGTTTAGGGACTCTACGAATAAGACCAAAAGGTTGGATTCTTGTCTTCCAAGCATTTCCATAGTAGGAGATGTAAGAGAAGTAGGAAGAGCTTTTATTGTACATTAAGAAGGTGATGGGATAATATAGGAAGCAAATGGCAAGCAACGAGATACCCATATTGTATATTTTCCTGTTGGAAATATTATCAGTTGTGTTGTTCAATGCCCCTGTATAGAAAGCTCCAAAAATTCTCTTTGAAAGCAGTTTTGTTATAAGTTATCAGATATAAATCTGTAACTCCTCATCATACTTCCTTTTTTGTGCCTTGGCTCCCAAGAAGCTCAGAGCTACATTTTCTTCTCCTCACTCACAGCAACTCTCTTTACACTAGTTTCTCTGATACACTTATCCATCTTGCTCAACAGAACTTCAATGCTGATTTTAATGATCCTATTGGTCTTTTACAAATCCATTTTGAAAGTAGTTGGGGTAAAAACAACTCCGTTTTTTAAAATTCCTCCAGTTTGCTCTTACCTGAGAACCCCGAGAGGCTTTGAGGCCCTTTGGGAGCCTGTAAGACCCCATTTTGCCCATTTTACTTACGAATGAAAACAACAGAAAGCACCCTGAGAAAAATGCGTGGCTGATGTGTGCTTTGGAAAGCCAAATGTGCTCTGAATGAAATTGAGTGTCCACACACATGTGCAAACACTAACACACATAAACACAAAATTGCTTTTGTGAAAACCCAAATTATATGGCAGTAGTAGACTCAGCATTTCATCTAGTTGTATGGTAAAAAGTGAAAATCAAGTCCTTATTAATTTGTGAGATTACTGTAGTTATTAGGTAGGAATGAATTTAACACTTGTGAAATTGAACGTTTATCCATGCATTTTCCAAGATTTTAAAATCTCTTTTGTTTTGCATCTCATCTATAAATTTCTGCCATGTGGAATTTTTCTTATGGTTGCCTTCTCTATAATAAGAATTCACTTTCATGGTTCACCAGCTGCCTGCCTGTTTTGTTTCTTAAACTATTCAGATATACCGAAAAAACAAACCTATTGCTGTTGAGTTGTTTCCAACTCATAGTGATCCTACAGGACAGAGTGGAACTGCCCTATAGAGTTTCCACGGAGCGGCTGATGGATTCGAACTGCTGACCTTTCGGTTTGCAACCCAGCTCTTAACCACCGTGCCACCATGGCTCCACTCAGACATAAGCAGTCCATAATTCAAACACCATTCTCATTTAAGTGTTTGCTAAAATCAGAGCTTGAGATCTTTGTATTGAGGTTGTATACCTTCTCCAATCTCTGGGCTGGCAGGTCCCAGTAATGACTGAGTTAGAGTTTTAGGAAATCAGTCTAGGGCTCTTGCTCATACACTTTTGCTAACAGCATTTTGCAACCAAATGGCTGCTTGGGCTTTGTTCTTGTATTTTCTGTAGTCACTGTGACTTTAAAAAGAAAAAGAAAAAAAAAAAAAAAAATTGAATCACAATACCTAGAGATGGCAAATGAAAAGCTATTTCTTTTCCATAATGTTAAAAAAAATCAACATCTCATCAAATGTAATGATGTTCAAGTACATTTGAATGATGCTGAATGGTATTCAATAACTTATCAAATGTAATGATGATATTAGAGAGATAAAAGATTAAATTATATATGGGTGTGTGTGTATATATATATATTTATATATAAACTGTGTTTTGAGTAAACTTAGTCGTATTTTTAATTTGAGAAAGTACCCCATTCTTTGGCTTTCCCAAGTGTCAGAATTAATACAGTTCGATAATGCAAAATCACCAACACATCTTTGTTTTTCCGTTTTCCTTTTCTGTACAGAAACGGACCAATGGACTTCGAAGAGCCTCCCGACAGGTGGATCCAGGTATGTTTCTGATTATACAGTGTCTATGTTGCTCCCCATCATATCCCCAGCACCTGGTACTGTGCCTGGAACATAGTGGAGCTCAACAGATATGTGTTAAATGTTTGTTAAGGAGCCCTGGTGGCACAACGGTTAAGCACTCAACCGTTAACTGAAAAATTGGTGGTTTGAACCCACCTAGTGGGTCTGCAGGAGAAAGAGCTGGCCATCTGCTCCCATAAAGATTACAGCCTAGAAAACCCGACAGGGCAGTTCTACTGTGTCACATGGGGTTGCTGTGAGTCTTGACTTCACTTGAGTGGTCATGAAAGGACATGGTAATTGCTGTAGAAGATCAGGCATATTGTTGGTTTTTGTTGCTTTCAGTTGGTATATTATGTGTGACCAGGAGCTAGTGGCCCAATGTGTAAATCATTCACCCAACAGTGCTTCCAAGGACAGGCTCACATGATGAATAACCAGGAGTACAGTACTCTTTCCACAATGAGCTAGTCATTTGCTTACTGAATAGCCTCAGGGTGCCTGGTTAATGCTAATGCATCTAACACCCTTCCACTGCTCCCTCCCAAATCTGGAATGAAAATCAACCAGCAAGCTGGCACTTATAAACTAGTATTCTCTAAGGGGGCAGGGAAGGAATAAACTAGACAACTTTGGTACAACCTCCTCATTTGGGAAAATACTTGTCTTCATCCTTAATCTGTACTATTTTATAATGGAAGCATAGATTTAAGGGCTTTGCGAACAAATGTCCTCTCTGGAGACCAATTATTTGTCTGCAGAAAACATTCAGTTGTTTTCTATTTAACACTGCAAGGTTTGCCCCATTGTTATTTTAGTATAATTATTGTTTCATCCAGTAAGCAATGCCTTCCACAGTTTAATTACCAGAGGCTTGTTATATATTTGGTCATACGATTGTGGGTAGAAGATACTCGTGGCTAAAGGATTCCAAATATATAAACTTGATAATAAATCAAGTGGAACATAAAATACGGGGTAGCCTTGTTGGAAAGTAGTCTACATGGTGCATTTTATTTTGTTTTCTCCTTATAACCAGTGTTCACCACGTTGTAAAGTTTAGCTTTCAAAGTGTTATGGCTTTTAACCAAAACCACACCCATGGTAGCCATGCCAGTTTATGACTGTTTGAGAAGATTTATAGGAGCTTTGTTGCCTCTGGCTAGAAATTGCCTCACTTGAGTTCTGAGATCAGTTTAAATCTTTTAACTACAGAACAAAATTGAGGCCATTAAAAAATAGGGGCTCTGGCTTTTTAATAATTCTTTCTCAAGACAGTGCCCTTTATGGTATGTTTGTAATTATATATGTGGCCTTCATTAGGTGTAGTAAATTTATGAGTATATTTATCATTTTTTTGAAAAAAAAAACAGTTGGTGATCTTACCTGTTGTAGATGGTAATGTGGTAACAACTATATTTCCCCCTGTAGCTGTCTCTTAGTGTTAGGCTGGAATTGTGTTTAACCCTTTGCTGTTGAGTTGATTTTACTCATAATGACCCTATAGGACAGAGAAGAACTGCCCCATAGGGTTTCTGAAGAGCAGCTGGTGCATTCGAACTGCTGACCTTTTTAGTTAGCAATTGTAACTGTTAACCACTGCACCATCAGCGCTCCTATGTGTTTGTAAGATTGGTTGTTATTTGTGTCTCTGCCCTTTCCAGCTGGTGGCTGGCATGGCTGACACCTTGCACAGTGTCTTCGTTCAAAGTGAACCCTTTCTTGATGACCCTTTTTGCTCTGCGTTAGTCTGATGTAGATATCCACACTTCTGCAGGAGATACTCTACCCTAAGATGTTTAAACAAGGGCTCAGTAAAGAGGCAGGCTCAGCATGGGCAAACTGCTTCCAAGGTGCATTATATGTTGTTAGTGCTTTTACATGGAAGCTCCTTCGGTTTTTTTCTCTTCTAGCTAATTTAGTTGATATCTGCAAGTGCTGATAGACTGACTACTTTCTAGGTACCTACTTAGGGTGGCTTGTCGGAAAAAAACAAAACAACTAATTAAACAGTTTGGGAGGCCAGGAAACAACTTCCATCAGGTCCAAATTTCAGAGCCATGTACAAAAATAAATTTTACATTTTTCCATTGACTTTTTTTTTTTTTTTTCAAAGGACCTTTGTAAAAAAAAAAAGCCCAGTTTTTTTTTTTTTTTGATGGATTTTTTTACCCCCAGTTGCCATCAAATTAATTATGACTCATGGTGACCCCATGTACTCTATAGGGTTTTTAATGACTGATTTTTTGGAAGTAGATCTCCAGGCCTTTCTTCCAAGGCACCTCTGGGTGGACTCAAACCACCAACCTTTTGATTTGCAGCCAGGTATGTTAACCATTTGCACCACCCAGGGAACCCTCTGTGAGTAGTAGGTGCTTCATAAATATGCATTAAATGAATTAATGAATGCCTGTAAGCTTTTCCTGAATGTGCTGGCTTTCTTGCTTTTTAAATTCCTCCTGCTGATTTACTAATGGAACCTGGTGTGGGGAGCATGGCTCTGAGTCGTGTGGCCTGGGTTCGGGTCTTGTCTGGGCTGTTTGCTTGCTGTTTGACCTTCAACAAGGTACTTCACCTCTCATATATAAGAGGAGAGTAACAACAGTACCTACCTTATAAAGTTGTTGTGAGGATGGGTTAATGTATGTAAAATACTTAGAAGAGTGCCTACTGTGTAGTAAACGTAAGTGTAGCAATTATTACAACAATTACCTTGTATTACAGCATGTGATTTAACATTGGACATTTTGTCATATGTTGGAGTATCAATGATATTTTCCAGTCATTTCTTTGCAAAACACCCTGAATTTAGTGGTGAATTTTCCTTGAAACAGCATGCTCCATATTCACTGTCATTTTCAAATTTGCCATTATCTCAGAGTCCCCTTCTTACCTAATAGCTTGTGTGACTTTTGCTTGTCTTTATGAAGAGACATACTCAACGATGGTGGCTGATGTTTTTGGTGAAGTTAACAGTGTTTGTGATTGCAATAAAGAAACAAAAAAGAAGTCCCGAGGTTGAAAACATATACTGTGGAGTGCTACTTAAACTCAAGGAAGATATGTGTTCTAAATTTGCATTGTGGCTTATTATCACATTTAAAACATTTGCTCTTTATTAATAATCTTTATAGACAATATTTGCAGACAGCTTTGTGGTTCAGTTTGTTTCTTGTTATCTTCTGTGTGATAAGAAATTTATCAATTTATAATCTTGACTGCTTTTATAAGTATAGTAATGTGTTAGGTGCAAATTCTGGTAGCTTTTTTGGATTTCTTAAATATAGCAGGGTATTTTCATCAGTTTTCTTCCCGAGACAGATGTTGGTATCAGGAAAATAACACTTGAAAGAGACAGATCAATTATTTCAGGAACACGGAGGTGCTAGGGCTTTTTCAAGAACATAAGATCATAGATCTCAAGAAAATCTGAGCACTGGTGTAATATTTTTTACCTAAAGTGGCACTCAAGGTCAAAGTTAACAATTAAATTTTAATACTAAGGCTTTAAAATTTTCTATGTAAGCATAGGAGATTTAAGATTTATTTTAGTTTGCACGTGGCAAATCTGTGTACCAGAATATGTGTTCTTTTAACCAAGTCCATGTTTTTAGACTATTGCAAAATTGGCTTATGTTCTTGGAACTCACAGCATCCTGTACCTAAGTCCACAGTCACTTTTACAAAATTCAGACCACTGTTTTGTGTGCCGCCTAAAGATTAGATGGACGAGATGGGAAGGGTTTAGGTAGCTTGCTCCTTTTCCGATCTAAAGTTACTCATATGACTTGCAATAACCTTGAACAGCAAATGAATAGATATTGGTTAAACTGATGAAAAAAAGAGTCCCTTCGGAAAGCTCTTGCTTCTCGTGTGCTCGTTGTTTAACTCTTGGTTACAAAGAGGCACAGGTGGCTTAGAAATATTGTCTTTTTCAATGAGATGTTGTTTTACTGTTTCTTAGCAGAGACATCTTCAGAGATGGTCACTTACTCTTTCAAGTGGATAAGATTAATATATACTACCATTCCTATTTATTCTTGTATGGACAAGGGAATTCAAGAAACCTTTCTTTTATTACCAGCTTTGTGTCTTATATAACATTATGCACATGCAGTGTCTTTAAGTATAAAATATGTCCCCTGTTGACAAGGTATTTATTTTCTACTTAGAGAAGGAATAGATATAAGTACAAAGTTTGGATTGCATAAGTGCATGCATATAAATGTATATATATAAACATTTCAATATCATATTGTTTTCTATATACTGATCCGGTATGCTGAAGCATAGTATCATAAAAACAATTAGTAATAGCCTGTTAAACATATAAAAAAGATCTAACTGTGTAGTGTGTGCAAAAAATGCAAAAGGAATTGGAAAAGGGGGAAGCAATTGTGAACTCAGAATTGCTTTTAAGCTGGGTTAAGTGTGTATATGTTTTCATTTATATAAATAAAAATTTTTTATGCTGGTTTATGTATTGAATTGTAATTTAATACAGTTCTCCTTAGTGTTTTAATTGCAAAGGATTGCTAAATTCGTGTCAAATCTAAACAGAATTGTTGGTTTCTTTTAGATTTGTTTTTAAACATGTCAGTTTGTTCAATAGAGAAGTTTTATATTTTAGTCCCCAAATAGAGAATACTGATGAGAAAAATAGCAACCTGGAATTTTAAAAAATAACTAGATTAAAAATACATTTTTTTCTTTTCCTTTTTTTAAATTTTTTTTTGAGGGAGACAAATGTATATTCTTGAAGGTTTTAGTAAATGAGTTTTTGTCTGTAATAAGCAATAAAGTTTCCATAGATTACAGCATTTCCATATTAATCAGTAAAACCCACTTCTGTCTTTTCTGTCACCTCCAAAACTAATTTCTCATCAAATATAAATCCTAATCTAAATATTGGGTGCATAATTGTAAATGTGTAAAAATATGTTTCACATTGAAAGAATTAACCTGAAAAAACTGGGACA